GGTCCAGGCCCAGCCTCCTCCTTCACACCTGGGGTTCCAGACCCCAGCCCTCCTCCCTTAGACCCAGGGGTCCAGACCCCAGCCCTCTTCCCTCAGACCCAGGGGTCCAGGCTCAGTCCTCCTCCCTCAGTCCCAGGGGTCCAGGCCCAGCCTCCTCCTTCACACCTGGGGGTCCAGACCCCAGTCCTTCTCACACAGACCCAGAGGTCCAGACCCCAGTCCTCCTCCCACAGACCCAGGGGTCCAGACCCCAGTCCTCCTCCCACAGACCCAGGGGTCCAGACCCCAGTCCTCCTCCCACAGACCCAGGGGTCCAGGCCCCAGCCCTCCTCCCTCAGACCCAGAGGTCCAGCTGCCAGCTCTATCCTTCCTCAGGACCCTGGAGTCTAGACCTCTGGTGTTCTCCCCAGTCCTCCTAATCTGACTGCCCTCCATCATGCCCAGTTCAACGTGGACAAGGAAGCAGGTGAAAGGCAAATCTATCACCGCTACTGCATGGAGCGAGCAGCAGCTCACTGTGCTCACGTCTTCACTACTGTGTCCCAGATCACCGCCATCGAGGCTCAGCACCTACTCAAGAGGAAACCAGGTAGAGGATGACCTACATTCCCTAGATATGAATAAGGTGGGACACTATCTATGCCAAGGCCAATGCTAGTTTTTTTAATATATGGTAAACAAAGAACTATAACTCCCAGAAGGCCTTGGGATATGGTACTAGCCTATAAATGAGGCTGCCTGACTGGGTGGAGCTAGGAGGCTAAAGGCTAATGGGCATTGTAGTTTCTCTAATACTAATTTCAGCCTGGCGCTGGTGGCTCACACCTGTAATCCTAGCTATGTGGAAAGCTGAGATCAGGAGGATCATGGTCTAAGACCAGCCAGGACAAATAGTTGACAAGACCCCATCTCCAAAATAACTAGAGCCAAATGGACTGGAGGTGTGGCTCAAGTGGTAGAGAATCTCTGAGATCAAACTCCAGTCCCACCCCTCAAAAAAACCCAATATTGGGAAAGAGATAGCTGGGTGGCAGAGTGAGTGGGTCACTGAGGAGCTCGCAGAACAGCTATTGAAACGAAGAAGGTGTGAAAGGAAGGAGGACTTTCCTTCACTGAGTTACTAAACCACATTAATCTGAATAAACAAATGAAGAAATAAAACGGGACCATATTCCCCAACCCTAGATATTGTGACCCCCAACGGGCTGAATGTGAAGAAGTTCTCTGCCATGCACGAGTTCCAGAACCTCCATGCACAAAGCAAAGCTCGGATCCAGGAGTTTGTGCGGGGCCATTTTTATGGGTACGTGGGCCACACACTACGTCTTAAGAGAAGAGGGGTAGAGGCCAGACTCCTGCATCTAAGGGAGGAGGGCTGTCGAACCTTAGGTCTGAGAGAGTAGGTTGGGCCTAGATTCCTGGGTCTGAGGGAGGAGGCCTGGGGTCTGGACCCCTGGATCTGAACAAGGAAGGCTGGGGCCTAGACTCGGCTGAGGACAGCTAGGAGCTCAGCTTCCTTGGTTCCTATTTTCCAGAACAATGGGCTGGGAGATCCCCACCTAACGGCAAAGGAACCACAACTTCCAGGAGACCCCATGATGCCTTTGCATTGTCTGAACAGTCTTTGTCCCTGTAGCTTCTGGGATTTGTAGTTTTAAGGACAGGAGCAGAGGGCAAGGATCTTGGGCTTCACACTGCCATGTGGCTTCTTTAGGCACTTGGACTTCAACTTGGATAAGACCTTGTACTTCTTCATTGCCGGCCGGTACGAGTTCTCCAACAAAGGTGCTGATGTCTTCCTGGAGGCCTTGGCCAGGCTCAACTATCTGCTCAGAGTAAGACCTGGGCAAAGGGGCAGAGTCAGGGGTCAAGGACAAATGAGAAAATTAGAACATAACTGGGGAGAACACAGACCCAGGGAGGTGGAGTTAGAGACAGGATATAGAGACCCAGAAAGAAGTCCAGAGGCTGGGGGTGGTGAATCACGCCGATAATCCCAGCACTTAGGAGAAGTTAGGCAGGAGGATCTCAAGTTTGAGGCCAGACTGGGGTGCATAGTGAGACCCTGTCTCAAAAAACAAAAAAAAAAAAAAAAAAAAAGAAAGGAAAATGGTGGGGCAGGAGGGAGGAAGGAAAACATTTGAAACCAGCCTTAGTAACTTAGTGAGACTGTGTCTCAAAACAACAACAACAAATGCCAGGGGCTTGAGTGTGGTAGCTCACACCTATATTTCCAGCACTGGGGAGGCACGTTATCTTGAGTTGAAGTCCAGCCTGAGCTATAGAGCAAGACCTTGTCTCAGAAAACCAAGGGCTAGGAATTTAGCTCAGTGGTTGAGTACTTACCTAGCATGTGCAAAGGCCCTGGGTTTCATCCCTAGCACCACAAAATGAAAAAGAAAAAGAAAAGTAAAAAAAAGATCAGAGACCCACCAGAATTCCAACTGAAAGGGGTGTAGCTGGGTGCTGATGGTTTTGGGGCAGGAAGAGGTTGGCTGGCCTGGTTTTCTTTCTCCCCTGTGACCCGACCTCTCTCTTTTCCTGGTCCCAGGTGAACGGCAGTGAGCAGACAGTGGTAGCCTTCTTCATCATGCCAGCACGGACCAACAATTTCAACGTAGAGACTCTCAAAGGCCAGGCCGTGCGCAAGCAGCTATGGTCAGCAGCCCTGGGCCTGGGACTCTGTTGGGACTCCCAGCTGGGCACTGGCCCCAGTACCTTTCCCAGAGTCACACTGGCCATACATGATCCACCTGTCCTGCAGATTTTTACTGAAGTCACATGCTTAGTGTACCTCCCACTTGGGGGTAGTAGGAAGTCATGACCTGGACAAATGTGACAGAAACCTAAAGGTTCCTGTCATCCCTACCACCAACTGTCAGTGACTCTTAAGCAAGCCACTGTCCCTCCCAGATCCTGTTTCCTTTTCTATGAAACTCATTCCCTCATTGCCCAACAGATAGCCTTAGAGTGTCTGCCAAATTATAGAAACACAGCTGTAACCAAAGAAGATAAAACTCGGCCCATGTGAAACTAAGCCCCTAAAAAATTCTGTAGAATGTGTTCTGGCAAAAGAAAGTAAGTAGATATAGCCAGGCTGGAATATGAGGCAGGGTTGTCAGGACAGGCAATACTTGATAAGGTACCCCTGTGCATTTCAGGCACAGGGACGAGCGAGTACAAAGGTCTGAGCATGATCAAACAACAGCAGGAAGCCCAGGTTGGCTGGAGCAGCAGGTGCAAAGGAGATGGGGTAGAAAATGAGGTGAAAGTATTCAAGGATTGTCAGCAGTGAGGCTGTGGGTGATATTGTGTGCTTGCTTTACTTGTGTGTCAATTTATTCCTCTCACAATCTGTCCTTACTTATAGCATGAGGCTTAGGTTGCCACCTGCAGGACTAATATACATCCTAATAATAGCTGACATTTCTGGAAGGCTCACCGTGTGCCGGGATTTCTCTTGATCTCCTTGAGTCCTCGTGGCAAACTTCTGAGCTTGATTCTATTTTTATTCTCATCTGATAGATGAGTCACTGAATTCAGAGAGGAAAGGCCAGCTGTCCTTGGTCACACAGCTGATGCAAGACACAAGGAACCCAAGATTTCCAGGGCTTGGTCCCAGCTCCCCATCCTCCACCCTGGAGGCCCCAAGACCTGGCTTCAGTGTCCCTGTTGCCTCCAAAGCCTGACAGTGAATGGCAGATAGTATGTATGTGACATTTTCCTTCTCCTTCCAGGGACACAGCCAACGCAGTGAAGGAGAAGTTTGGGAGGAAGCTTTACGAGTCCTTACTGGTGTGAGTACCCAGCCCCCAGCTCTGCACCCTTCCGGGGACCCTAGCCCCTCGCGCCACCCCATTCCCACACACATGCTCCTGCTCGCCTTCCAGAGGGAGCCTCCCAGACATGAACAAGATGCTGGACAAGGAAGACTTCACTATGATGAAGCGGGCCATCTTTGCCACACAGGTATGGTTTCCCCTGAACAGACAGATGGCAATTACCACTGGCTCCAGAGGCCCTGGCCATGTTAGCTCTGAGCCCAGAGATTGCTGGGAGTTCTGCTTTCTTGAGCAGCCCTCTATGGAGGGATCAATTCTGAGATCCGTAGAAGGGGCTCAGGTGACTGGTAGAACTTCAGTTCCCAGGAGTAGATGCTTGTCTGTAACTTATTCTCCCCCAGGGGCTGCTAGGAGTAGGGGTTTCTCTGGGTTCCCTAGGTTAGTGGACAAAGATTAAAAGGGTCATTGAGAAACAAGATAGTTACAAAAGGAGAATTTTAACTGTTAGATCTCCTTGGGCCTTGCTTGTTGCATATTGGCTCCACCTCTGCCCCCAGGGGCTCCTGGGAATGGTAGTTTTGTTGGGCCTCTCCAGGGATGGAGCTAGGTTTAACACACCTTGCATTCCCTGGAGAACTCAACAGCCACTGTTTATTATCCCAGTGGCTGTGTCCTTGTCCCCACACACCAGTTGCTGAGGTTGATGGAATTAAGTGGACAGGAAATCACAAGAGTGACTGGGTAGTCACTATGAGAACGACAACTCCCAGCTTCCCCTAGGGCTTCCTGCTACATTAACTTCCCTTCCCTCAGAGGCTTCTGGGAATTAAAGTTCTTCATTCCCTTGGGGGGCGGTGGGGGGAGGGCGGTGATCAGGGAACTTTAGTACCTGTTGTTACAGTTGCTGAGCCTGAGTAATGGGAACCTCAAAGGCTAAAGTGCACAAAGAAGGAATGAACTGCTTTGGCCCAAACTACAAATTCCCCAAATCCCTAAAGCAACCCACCTTACTCATGAATGATGCTGACAGAGGACTAATGAGTGATGATCGTTGCAAAGAACAGCCCTTCCTTTGAGGGCTTTCTATTGCTCTACCTTTCTCTTGCTGCTGCAGCTGCTGGAATTTTCTTTTCTTTGGGTACCTGTTAGGGCCTGGGGCCAGGGGAGAAAACTACAGCTTCCTGAAGCTTGCTGCCATCTTGGCACAGTGTTTGTCTCTACTGATGGGGGAGTTATAGTTCCTTGAAGTTCCTTTATTGATAAAGCCAAGAATACAGAGCAAGATAGGGGTACTTCCCTAGAGGCTTTGGGGGCACATTAACACTGGCTCTGCCTCAAAGACAGCTGGGAATTGTAGTTCTTTTAGGCTTATGGTAGTAAAGGGAAAAAGAACCTTTAATGGTAAGAGCCAAGCATACAATTTGTGGTAATCTCTTGAGTAACTGTTCTATAGCCTCGTAGGAATTGTGATTTCCTTGTGTCCCTGGGGTTAGCATGGCCCAAGGGGAAGAAGGAAGTCCTCTGTCCCTTCCCTGACCCCACTCCACTTGTTGTGACCTCTACAGCGGCAGTCTTTTCCCCCTGTGTGTACCCACAATATGTTGGACGACTCCTCTGACCCCATCCTGACCACCATCCGCCGAATTGGCCTCTTCAATAGCAGTGCGGACAGGGTGAAGGTGAGGGAACTGGCCCGGGGTGGGTTAGGCATGGTGGGGAGGAGTCACACTCTGGCATCACACTCCCTATCCCCCTAGTTTACCAAAGACATTGCTATGTTTAGATAGCTTTGCCAGTGTGGCAAACAGACTGTGTTTAAATCTTTGTCTTGTCACCCACTTGCTATGTGTCTTTAGAAAAGTGTTTCACCCTCTCTGGGCCACTCTGGTTTCTCAGGAAGTAGCTCCCTAATGTACTTAGACTAAACCCTTCTTTCTCACTGCCAGGTGATTTTCCATCCAGAGTTTTTGTCCTCCACAAGCCCCCTGCTCCCTGTGGACTACGAGGAATTTGTCCGTGGCTGCCACCTTGGGGTCTTCCCCTCCTACTATGAGCCTTGGGGCTACACACCAGGTGAGTGCAGCAGGGAGGAGCAGCATGGTCTTGTTTATATAGGGTGTGATTCAGAAGCGAGGCACCCCAGTTTGGGGACAGGCTGTCTAGTCTCTGATGACCCCTAATTTGCTGATGTTTGGATCCCCAAATATTGGCAACTGAGTCACAGCTCACTAACAACTGAGTGTAGCAAAGTCTCAAGTCTCCTCTGGAGCTGTCCCTGGTGACGTTCAACTTTACCTTCCTCTTGTGACGCTGTCTCTCTCTCTCTCTCTCTCTCTCTCTCTCTCCCCCTCTTCCCCCTTTCCTCCCTTGCTTCTTTCCTTCCTTCTCACTATGTTGCCCAGGCTGGTCTTGAATTCTTGGGCTCAAGTGACCCTGTACCCTCAGTTTCCTGAGTAGCTGGGATTACAGGTGTAGGCTACCATATCTTATTCAGGCTCTGTTATATTTAGTGCCTGCTTTTGTCATTTACAGAGGGTTTCTTTTTTTTTTTTTGAGTGGGACTGGGGTTCGAACTCGGGGCTTTGTGCTTGCAAAGCAGGTGCTCTACCATTTGAGCCATGCCTCCAGTCCATTTTGCTGTGGTTATGGGGTAAGGGGGGCGTCTCCTAAACTTTTGCCCTGGGCTGGCCTTGAACCATGATTCTCCCAATGTCAGCCTCCCAAGTATCTAGGGTTACAAGTGTGAGCCACTGGCGCCCAGCCATTTATAGAGATTTTTAGGGACATTATGTGAGAATTATAATAAACTCCTTCAGCCATCTCTCAGGGTTGTTTAAGGCATGAAATAATGCATTATAGGTATGCTGTACAAGGGCACAGGTGCTCACACCTGTAACTCCAGCCACTTGAGGGGAGGATCACAGTTCAAGACCAGTCTGACCTCATCTCTTGGGCTTGTGGAGTGGCTCAAGTGGTAGAATGTCTATCCAATAAGCACAAGGCCCTGAGTTCAAACCTCAGTACCACAAAAAAGACCCCCCATCTCAAACAACAAACCGGGTGTGATTGTTCATATCTGTCTGTAATCCCAGCTATGCAAGAGGCATAGGTAGAAGGATCACAGTCCAAGGCCTGCCCTGGGAAATTGTATGAGACCCTGTCTATAAAATAAAGCCAGATCTGGGGGCATGGTTCAAGTGGTAGAGCTACTGCCTAGCAAGTGCAAAGCAAGGTGGCAAGTTCAAACCCCAGTACCACAAATGATAATAATACAAGAGGCTTTTTCTTACCTCCATTCAAAACAGACCTATGAGCCAGACATGGTGGTGCATGCCTAAAATCCCAGCAGGGTGAGGCAGGATGATCTCCAGTTTGAGACAGGCCATCGCTACATAGCGAGACCTTGTCTCAAAAACAAACTGAAGATGAACACCAATGGCTAATGCCTGTGTGCGCCAGTGGGTCACTGATGTAATCCCAACTACTCAGGAGGCAGAGACCAGGAGGATCATGGTTCCAAGCCAGACCCAGCAAATAGTTCTTGAGACCCCATCTCGAAAAAACCCGTCACAAAGAAAGGGCTGCTGGAGTGGCTCAAGTGGTAAGAGCGCCTGCCTAGCAAGCGTGAGATCCTGCTTTCAAACCTCATCGCAGCCAGTGAATAAATAAACCAGATTATGACCCATTGTGGCGCACACATACACACATAAAAAACCCCACCTATCTTAAGATCCTTATTTCACTAAGGTGGGCTTTTCTGCATTCTTGGGGCGGGGAATCTCCTTTGCTGGGCAGGCTCTCTCTTCTCTTAGTGGGACAATTCGGGAGCGAGCCTCCTGCAACGCGAGGTTGTGAGCACTTGGTGACTGCGCACTTGGTTCTGGCGCCGGTAGGTGGCGCTGTCGGGGCTTTTGCTGCATTTAGGCCATGGGGCGAGCGGGAAGCTCAGTGGGCCTTCTCTCCCCTTCCCCAGCCGAGTGCACGGTCATGGGCATCCCCAGTATCTCCACCAACCTCTCAGGCTTCGGCTGCTTCATGGAGGAGCACATCGCAGACCCCTCGGCATACGGTCAGTTGCCCAGGTCCCTGAGGGGTAGAGAAGGAGGACTGACAGCTGGAACATCTGGATCCTGGGGAGGAGGGATGTGGGCTATTGGGTCCTAGTGCCACAGGGTCCGAGAGGTCTCCGCAGACCATTCTTGAGCCCTGTTCCTGGCCTCTGCAGGGATCTACATCCTGGACCGGCGGTTCCGCAGCCTGGATGATTCCTGTTCCCAGCTCACCTCCTTCCTCTACAGCTTCTGCCAGCAGAGCCGGCGCCAGCGCATCATCCAGCGCAATCGCACCGAGCGTCTCTCCGACCTTCTGGATTGGAAATACCTAGGCCGGGTATGACCCTGTTCCCTTCCCCTCGGCCGCCTCTGGCTGGAGCATGTGGCAGGATCTTCTAATATTTGTAACAATTGCTGCCCCTTTAGAAATTAATCTCTGCCGCTGTCGTACTGCACCTCTGTAATCCCAGTACTTGGGAGGCAGAAACGGGATTCCGAGGTTTTTTTGTTTTATTCTTAACTCAGGGCTTCACACCGGCAAAGCAAGCACTTGGAATCAGGCACACGGTCACTTGAGCCACACCTCCAGCCAATTTTGCTCTGGTTGTTTTTGGAGATGGGGCCGTCTCACGAACTATTTGCCTGAGCTGGTCTCCCACCGCCATCCTCCCAATCTCAGCCTCCCAAGTAGGTAGGATTACAGGAGTGAGCCACCGGCACCTGCCTGGATTGCGAGTTTGAGGCCAGCCTGGGCTACATATGTAGACCTTGACTAAAAAAAAGAAAGAAAGAGAGAGAGAGAGGAAAGAAAAGGAAGGAAGGAAGGAGGGAGGGAGGGAGGGAGGGAGGGAGGGAGGAAGGAAGGAAGGAAGGAAGGAAGGAAGGAAGGAAGGAAGGAAGGAAGGAAGGAA